GAAATGAGGCGGCGGTCTTCTCAGCGCGTCACCGTGTCGTCACGGCGAGTTACCGGATCATCGCGTGCTCCAGCCAGGGTATATAATTAAGTCATGGAGAGGCGAAGGTTTCAAACTCGGCGTTGAGAAAGTCGAAGGATAACGTTAGGATTTGTGCGGGAACGTGCGTGAAGGTGCAGCTTGGCGTGAAACACTTCACAAAACAAGCGAGTGCCGGGCCAGGCCTGCTCAGCCCTGAATACGATGGGAAAAGCCCGGGCAATCTCTGCGCTTCGAACGGAAGCCCAGGTGGCGAGGCGAGGCGAGGCGAGCCGCCTGCCAGCGCACGAGTGCGTCTCCGTCCTGAATCCCGCCTGAGGAACCAGCAGTAATGCCGCGACAGGAAGGGGTGCTCTGCCCCGCTCCCTCCCCCAGTCCTCCCAGTGCCCCCCAGCCCGGCACCTTTACCAGCTCCCAGCCTTCAGAAGGCTTCGAATGATCCCGTGATTCCCAGAGGCTCTTAAGTCGTAAAAGTTCCCTAAAAAGGTCTGCCTGGTAGGAAGGGCGGAGAGGATGAATTTCACAGAGCTGCCTGTTACCCGTGTGGTGATACAGAGCTGCTCGCTAGACCTCAGAAAAGAAATCCTCTTTTTTTTTTTTTTTCTTCTACATCTGTGAACTGCAGATTAGTGGGGTGGATTTAGGCAGAATCTACAGATAAAAGTAATGATCTGGAAAATAGCCCAGAGACTTGCATTGCATGGGTCCAGGAATCTGGGAATAGGCCTGGCCATTTATGGCCTCCCTGGAACTGGAGTGGTGCAGAGGGAAAACAAACAGAGACTCCCACCGCTCCCAAACCAGCAGCCGCTTGAATATTTTAATTTGCTGGAAAAATAAGAACCTTGTATTGTATCCTAGTTAATCTTCAGACACCCTTCAAAAGAGTTATTAAAAAAAATTAAATTTGAGGTCAATACATGCATGTGGAAGTTTCCATGTATAGCAAACATAAAATCATAGAATTACAGATTTGCTGAGGCTGGACTCTAACTCTGCCAAGTCCACCACTAAACCATGTCCCTAAGCGCCACGTCTGCCCATCTTTTAAATACCTCCAGGGATGGGGACTCAACCACTTCCCTGGGCCGCCTGTTCCAATGCTTGACAACCCTTTCTGTGAAGAAATTTTTCCTAATATC